TGGGGCGAGGAGTACGTGAAGCCGAAGCGCTGAAGGACCTGCTGCACCATGTGTGACTGAGTCAGGGTAATGGTGCGGCGTGCTCTGTCCCGGGTGATCTGCAAGCCAAGGTAGCTGCGCAGTTCACCCAGGTCTGTGCAGTCTCTTCTGCAGCTCGGACTTTACGTAGGCGAGTCCAGCAGTGTCAGCTGTGGCAAAGACCAAGTCGTCGACGTACACGAGGATGTAGAACGGCGGCAGAGAGGTGTCGGTGCGCAGAAACAGCGACGGGTCGGCAGTAGAAGGAGCAAACCCAAGAGCCGCAAGCGTAGTCCTCAGTGTGTCGTGCCACTCACGTGGCGCCTGGCGGAGACCGTCGACTGGACGTCGAAGACTCCACTGGGTACCAGGAGGGAAAGACCCAGTGAAGCCAGGTGGGCGGCGCAGCCAGATCTCCTCGTGCAGGCTGCCCTGCAAGAAAGCTGTGCTGAAGTCGAGAGAGTGCAGCTCGTAGTCACGGTGAGCAGCAACGTGCAGCAGTACCCGAAGAGTGGTCATCTTCGGGGTGGGGGAGAAGGTCTGAAAGTAGTCAACTCCCTGCCGCTGACTGAAGCCACGAGCCCCGTAACGCGCCTTGAAGACAGACGGAGAACCCGGCGGCCGCTTCACCCTGAAGATCCACATGCCACTGACGATGTTCGTCCCAGGAGGGGGGACAGCGTCAACGTAGGTGCCTGTGGACTTCCAGGAAGCCATCTCTACATCCATAGCTGCCTGCCACTGAGAGGAGTAGAGACCCTCTATCGCCTCCGCGTAAGAGCGCGGAGTCGGGATGTCAAGTGCATCCGGGTCTCCCTCAGGGGTAAGCAGTACGGACACGAGATGAGGTGAAGCAGCGGCCAAGCACTGGAACTCCTCCTGCCTGTCCTCAAGGACGTCCGTGCCAAGGGCACACTCACCCCCGACGGACGGAGGACAGACAAACTCAGACTCAACGGCAAGACTGGCAGCGTAGTCTGGGCGACAGCGAGCAGCAAAGTCGACGAGCTCAGCTACAAGGGCAGACGCAGCAGTAGACTCGAAAGAAGGGTCAGTGACGACAGTAGCAAGGAGACGCGTGACAGTAGGACTGGCAGCCCAAAGAGAGTCCGACTCCGGGTCGGCAAGAGCAGGAAGAGAGGACTCAGGAGTAGAAGGCAAAGGGGCACGCAGAGGAGCAGTGGACGGACGCAGAACCTCCAGGCGAAGCACCTCCAGGCTCAGCACCCCAAGGCAAAGCACCCCCAGGCGTAGTACCCCCAGGCTCACCACCCCCAGGCCCAGCACCCCCAGGCTCCGCACCCCCACGCAAAGCACCCCCAGGCTCAGCACCCCCAGGCGTAGCACCCCCAGGCTCAGCACCCCCAGGCCCAGCACCCCCAGGCTCAGCACCCCCAGGCCCAGCACCCCCAGGCTCAGCACCACCAGTCTCAGCACCCCCATGCTCAGCACCAGAGTCACCAATGACCTCGACAGGCTCGACTGCGTCTACCTGGGACACACCTAAAGGGGCAGGACCCTGAGGGGGGAGGGGGTCTACCTGGTACAAGAAAGAGCGGGGGCGGGGGAAGGGACGGAGTGCGGTAGGGGAAGAGGCGGTAGTAGGGGACCGACTCGTCGAACGTGACGTCCTGGGAGGACAGAACACGGCAAGAGGTGGGGTGGTAGAACTGCCAGCAGCACCTCCAGTAGCTCCAGAACCTCCAGCAACACCAGGACAACCCCCAGCAGGACTGCCAGCAGTAGTCTCAACGCCAACACCCTCAGCAACACCAGCTCCAGTCGAACCCGCAGGCCTTGCAGCTCCAATACTAACAGTACGAGCACCTCCGGGACCCGCGACAGCAGCACCCTCAGTAGCCGAAGAACCTCCAGCTCCAGCAGCACGGCTCTAGCGCCGGGCAAACCACTCGCGCAGCTCCTGTGGAGAGAGTGGCTCCCGGCGAGACGAAGCACCCGGAGAACCTCCAGGCGAAGCACCTCCAGGCTCAGCACCCCAAGGCAAAGCACCCCAAGGCGTAGCACCCCCAGGCTCAGCACCCCCAGGCCCAGCACCCCCAGGCTCCGCACCCCAAGGCAAAGCAACCCCCGGCTCAGCACCCCCAGGCTCAGCACCCCCAGGCTCAGCACCCCCAGGCCCAGCACCCCCAGGCTCAGCACCCCCAGGCCCAGCACCCCCAGGCTCAGCACCACCAGTCTCAGCTTCCCCAGGCTCAGCACCCTCAGCAGCACCAGAGTCACCAGTGACCTCGACAGGCTTGACTGCGTCTACCTGGGACACACCTGAAGGGGCAGGACCCTGATGGGGGAGGGGGTCTACCGGGGGGGGACCTGGTACAAGAAAGAGCGGGGGCGGGGGAAGGGACGGAGTGCGGTAGGGGAAGAGGCGGTAGTAGGGGACCGACTCGTCGAACGTGACGTCCTGGGAGGACAGAACACGGCGAGAGGTGGGGTGGTAGAACTGCCACTCAGGCGCGTCAGGGGGGAACCCCAGGAAGACGCAAGGAGCAGCACGAGGGGACAGTTTTTCCGCAGACAAGTCGCGGACAAACGCTCGAGATCCCCAGACCCGGAACGCCGACGCATCGCCAACCTTCCCCGTCTACAGCAAGGCTGGGGAGGTCTCCGGCCTGGAGACCCTCGGGTGAAGGTTGATCTGATGCGCCGCGTACCTGACCGCAAACAGCCACAGAAAATGGGGGGCAGCCGCATGCATCATGGACGTACGAGCGACGTCCATGACCATGCCAATGCGGCGCTCAGCAATCCCATTTTGCTGCGGAGAGTCCGGAAGCGTGAAGGTCTGACGGATGCCTCGTGCACGACAGTAGGCTCGCAGAAGGCCAGAGGAGAACTCTCCGCCTCTGTCCGAGTGCAGACGCAGAACAGGAAAGTCCGAGCCAAAGCTCTGCCTGAGCTGGAGACGAGCTGCGCGGATCCAGTCGATCAGCACCTCAGTGACATCACCCTTGCTGCACAAGGGGAAGACTGTGGTGTAACGCGAGTAGTCGTCAACAACGAGCATGATGTAGCGCTCGTGACCTTGTCCACGGACGCGGGCTGGGCCCCACACGTCCATGTGAAGCGTCTGCAACGGGGCCTCTGTCGGAGGAAACTGGGAGGAGTGAGGGGCAGCACGCTGGCGCCCCTCGACACAGGGGACACACGCAGGGCCAGGGCCCTGAGGAAGAGGAGGGAGGGATTGGGGGAGACCAGACACTAGAAAACGGGAGGCCATGCCTCTGAGCCGAAGCAGAGAGGGGTGACCAAGACGGTGGTGCCAGAGGAGAGTCTCGTGAGACAAGAGACGACACGAACAGGGGGCGGACTCAGGACCAGACCTGGACGCTGCAGCAAACACCTGACCCGATGGGGCGACTCTGCCAGACTCAGTAACGGGAGGAGACACAGTGGTCAGTGTGTATTGGCTCGACCCTGGCTGACGGGTAAACGTAGCCAGGTGCCGGCCTGTGCTAGCCTCTGTACAGTGCGTCACCCGCCGACGCGCAGGAGTGAACTGGTGGACACCCGCATCCTGTAGGTCAGCACCACTCAACAGGTTCATAGAGAACGAGGGGAGGTAGAGACCAGACAGGGTGCCAGAGGGAGCCGCCGGACACGGCAAGACTGTGGAGAAGCGAGACAGGACAGGACCCCCAGAGGGGACAGCCAGAGACACTGCAACCGGCCGACTCAGCGGTGTGAGTGTGGTGCGGTCTCGAAAGAAGGAGCGAGACGCCCCAGAGTCAAGGGTGAAGGTGAGGGAGGCCGAAGCCGACGTAGTACCTGAGAGTGCAGACTCACCAGTACCTGAGGACGTAGACACACGAGCACCTAGAGCAGCAGCGTCGCAAGCACCTAGGGCAGCAGCCTCACCAGTACCCAGAGCAGCAGTCTCAATGCCGGGATCAGGCGGGAAACACCGGTAACAGACACCCTCATCACTAATAGACATAGCATACATGGCAGAGAGAATAGCATCAAAGTCAAGATCATAGATGGCAACACCCGCCCTAGACAGCTCGCCCCAGCGAGGGATCTCTGAGGCCTCGAGGAACTGGTGACGCCACGCGTCCGTCAGGCGGCCAAAGATTGCTGGGTGGGGTGCGCACCCCCACACTGCTCACCCGCACGGTCGCCGGTGCGCAGGACGTAGGTGCACGGACCAAAACCCCCACCCCGCTGGCGTGCAGTGTACCACTCACGGAGCTGCTGAGGGGACAGGGTCCCACGACAGCGCTGCAGCTGCTGGCGCGAGGTACCACCGGAGCCACTCCTCTGCGATGACCCGCGACCGGCTCCACCGCCACCCCCAGCGCCCCCGCTCTGTCAAGGCGGCGTCGCACAAGGTGGTGGACGGCGACAAGTGGCAAATCATTCTGCGTGTCACACAGTCCTCACCGAGCAACTCCCTGGGGCGCTGCGCAGTCGCACCGCTGACTGATTACGTGGCGGAGATCTGGGACCAGCCGTGGTCGGGCTTCCGCGCGCTGCTTTCGTTCGACAAGGCAAAGTGTGGACATGGGCTGGTTGCTGCGATGTTGTGTTGAGACAGAACAGAAGCCTCGTGACGTCTTCTGACTTTTGAGTCGACTCAAAAGTCAACTTCCGCGTGTTGCTCTCCTTCGACAAGGCAAAGTGTGGACGTGGGCTGGTTGCTACGATGTTGTGTTGAGACAGAAGCCTCATGACGTCTTCTGTTTCACATGGTTGAGTGAGATGCATGAGAGACATGGCAGGAGGGTTTGTTGGTTGGTTCGCAAGTGTTGTAATCTAAATCTAGAGGCAAATCCAGAGAGGTTGTGCACTTTGTTGTAATATGTTTTGATGAATATATACCAGTGAGAGTGTTTGCAGAGCAACTCATCACAGCATCTCGCTGCCCCTACCACTGTGCCATCAGCACCTACCAAACTTGAACTCCCGCCAGTTCTGGGACATTCCAAACCTAACAGCAGATGGCACGAATGCCACTAATGCAACTACTTGCCCTCGTTGCCTCCTGCCAGCAGAGCCTGCCCCAGCTGCAGCATCACCAAATACACTGGGTGAAACTCCTTCCCACCCCTCACATTCACACTCCCCACGTAATCGTCTAATGACGACTTGATGCTCTGCCACGCCTGCTGCTGCGAGTGCTGGTCCAGCCAGAGTGAGTGCTATTTTGAGGGGCCCCGAAAAAAGCCAGAGGGAGCACTACTTGCCCTCGTTGCCTCCCACCAACAGCGTCTGCCCCAGCTGCAGCATCACAGCATAAACCGGGTGAAACTCCTTCCCACCCCTCGCCCTCACATTCCCCACGTAATCATCTAATGACGCCTTGATGCCCTGCCACGCCTGCTGCTGCGAGTGCTGGTCCAGCCAGAGCGAGTAGCGCGCCGGAGGCTGCTGAATGCGTGTGAATGGGGAGAGCAGCTCAGGGGGCGCGCGGGAGAAGAGATGATGCAGGACAACGCTTGGAGGGAGATCCTGTGGGGGTTGTGAGGGGGGGTGGGAAAAGCACAAGAGGGGAAAGGAGTGAGTGGACTGACAAAACCAGGCAGAAGGAGCAAAAGCACAGGGGAAGTGGGTGTGCTGTGTGCAAAAGTTGCTTCTTCTGCCGCTGCGAGTGCTGGTCCAGCCAGAGGGAGTAGCGTGCTGGGGGCTGCTGGATGCGCGTGAACGGGGAGAGCAGCTCGGGGGGCGCGCAGGAGAAGAGGTGATGCAGAACAACGCTTGGAGGAAGGTCCTGCAGGGGAGGGAGAGGGAGAGGGAGAGGGAGAGGGAGAGGGAGAGGGGGGAACGGGAGTGAATGGACTGAGAAAACCTGGCGGAAGGAGCAAAAGCACAGGGGAAGTGGGTGCGTTGAGTGCAAAAGTTGCTCCTCCTCCTGCTGCGAGTGCTGGTCCAGCCAGAGGGAGTAGCGCGCTGGAGGCTGCTGAATGCGCGTGAACGGGGAGAGCAGCTCGGGGGGCGCGCGGGAGAAGAGGTGGTGCAGAACCACGCTTGGAGGGAGGTCCTGCGTGGGGGAGGGGGGAACGGGGATACGGGTGAGCAAGATGGGGGAATGGGAGTGAGTGGATTGACAAATCCCTGCAGAAGGGGCCAAAGCACACAGGAGAAGTGGGTGTATTGTGCGTATATGCTGCTCTGTGCGCTGCTCTGTGCGCTGCTCTGTGCAGTGGTCCAGCCAGAGGGAGTAGCGCGCTGGGGGCTGCTGGATGCGCGTGAATGGGGAGAGCAGCTCAGGGGGCGCGCGGGAGAAGAGGTGGTGCAGGACAACGCTTGGGGGGAGGTCCTGGGGGGGTGAGTAGGGGGGTCCGGGGGGAGAAGGGGGGAAATTATAGTGAGGCAACGAGCAGGTGAATGGGGAGAGCATCTCGGGGGGCGCGCGGGAGAAGAGGTGGTGAAGCACGACGCTTGGAGGGAGGTCCTGGGTAGAATGGGCGAGGGGAGACATGAGAGCAAGTGGGGAGAGCAGGAGTGAGTGAACAGTTTTGAGAGGTCTCAAAACAACCCATTTATCATAGAGCAGAACTGAGAGCACAGAGAAGGCTCGTTGGAATATTCAAAAGGTCCAGGAACAGAAGGGGCGTGAAGGTGCAGAGGGCACGGCAGGAGGCGCCGAAGGTGTGTGGGGGTGCGAGGAGCTGTCCCACTGCAAACTTCATTCCATATGTAGTATGCAATAAATACTTGAAGAGTTAAGTGATTATTGGAAAACACGAATGGTCTGGGCACGATCGACATTATAACTTCCAATGAAGAGTTCATTGGTCAAGACACCAATGGTCTAGAGTTCAAAGTCATCTATTGGCTGCTTCATTTCAGCGAGTGTTTTTTGAGAATTCTCAAAAAACACTCATTGCCTTTATGTATTATCACGTTCATTAACCTCAACTGCTTGTGCGTCGTCCACCACCAGTTATGAAGTCATGGAGTCTGGTCAGCGGATGATGCCGAAGGAAGCAGTACTAGCAATTTTGAGCGGTAACTCCACCTCGCCCCACTGCGAACTCCACCTCGCAACCACCTTTGTTACAACCAATGGACGCACCTGCAGCAGCGAGCTGGTTGGAATCTTCTCCAGGTCCAGAAAGAGCAGCGGCCTGAATGCACGCAGGGCGCGGTAGGAGGCGCCGAGGACGTGTGTGGGGAAGAGATGCTGCCCCACGGCGAACCCCAGCTCGCCCATGTCCCTCGCCTTGGGAAAGAGGTGTAGACCAGCCCCATGGCAAACTCCACTATTAGGTGCACAGCATGGCTTGCAGTCACTCACTGCCACTGCAGACGCTTGTCACTTGTGATACCGTCAACATACTAACTGACCTGCAGTAGCGAGCTGGTGGGGATCTTCTCCAGGTCAACGAAGAGCAGCGGGCGGAAGGCGCGGAGAGCACGGTAGGAGGCGCCGAGGGCGTGTGTGGGGAAGAGATGCTGCCCCACTGCGAATTCCAGCTCGCCCATGTCCCTCGCCAGCCTCAACCGCCCCGCCTCTGAGAGTGGCCGTACCAGCGAGGCGTGGCGCACAAAGAAGAGCAGCGTGCGAGATGCGAGGCTGGGAGAGGGGGGTGAGAGGGAAGGGGAGGGAAGCAGGGGGCAGGGCAGTGGGGGGAGGTCATTCAAGTCTCTCAGAAGTAATTGAATTAAAATAAAAAAAAAAAAAAAAAAAAAAAAAAAAAAAAAAAAAAACTTTTCAGAGAAGCACACACGAGAACCTAGCGTTGTGGGCGCACGAGCGAGGCGTGGCGCACAAAGAATAAGAGTGCGCGATGCCAGGCTGAGGAGGGGGGGGAGAGAATGGGAGAGGGAGAGCTTAGCGTTGTGTACGGGGCTGGGCTACGAGCTCCGACAAAGTCGCAGGGGGAAGGGCCGTGGATGTGGATGGGGTCAGAGCAGAGGTCCCCAGGTGGGTGGCAGCACCCGATCCAACAGAGATGCAGCGAATGTGGACGACGCAGGTGTGTTTTGAGTCGACTCAAAACACACATGGTGTCAGAGGCCCCCAGGTGGGTGGCAGCACCCGATCCAACAGAGATGCAGCGAATGTGGACGACGCAGGTGTGTTTTGAGTCGACTCGAAACACACATGGTGTCAGAGGCCCCCAGGTGGGTGGCAGCACCCGACAGAGATGCAGCGAATGTGGACGACGCAGAGACCATTCAAAGAAACGAGCTTACCGTTTGGCAAGGGACTGAGCAACAGGCTCAGAGACAGTCGCAGGGGGCAGGGCGGTGGAGGGAGAGAGAGGGCCTGATCCCGCAGCACCGGACAGAGATGCAGCGAATATGGACGAGGCCGGCGCTGCGGAGGAGGAGGAGGAGGTAGAGGAGGAGTCAGGGAGAAGAAGCTTGGAGAGGAACTCAGAGTGAAAGTGGGTGATGGCTCGAATGGTGTTCTCCATGTATGGCGAGCAGTTGTCCCCCGCTGACTCGTGCTGCTGATTCTGGTTGTGCTGGTTGTGCTTGTGGGGTGGTGTGGATCCCCCGCTGCTGCTGGTACGGTTTCTTGAGGCCGACCCAGGGGGTGGCGGGGTGGTGGAGGCGGGAGGGGCGTTGGGGTCGTCTGAAGAGAAGTCCTGCTGGTGGATTTGAAGAAGGCATGCCTCGATGCGATCCCGCATGGCCTGGGGAGGGGACGGGGGAGGGCATGGAGAAAGAAACAGGAAGAGAAGGAGGGTGAGAGGAGGGAGGAGCGTTGGGGTCGTCTGAAGAGCTGCTGGTGGATTTGCAGGAGACAGGTTTTGAGACGTCTCAAAACACTTCTGTTTACACGTCGTCTGAAGAGAAGAGTTGCTGGTGGATTTGCAGGAAACAGGCTTCGATGTGGTTGCGCATGACCTGGGAACGGGGAGGGCTCGGAGAAGAGAAAGGGGGAAGTGGAGGAGGAAGGGGTGTTGGGGTCGTCTGAGGAGAAGTCCTGCTGGTGAATTTGCAGCAGCCAGCCTTCAATGCGATCGCGCATGGCTTGGGGAGAGGGAGAGCGCAGGTGTGTGTGGAGGAAGAAACAAAGTGGGCAGGGGAATAGGGTGGGCAAAAGAGGGAGGGGCGTTGGGGTAGTCTGAGGAGAAGTCCTGCTGGTGGATTTAGAGGAGGCAGGCCTCGATGCGATCCCGCATGGCCTGACAAAAAGGGAAGGGCATGGAGAGAAGAACGGGAGCAGAAGCGAGGCGGTGGAGGAGGAAGGAGGGGCGTGATGCAGGCTACAAGGCACCAGCGGCAGAGAATGCAGAATGACGGTCCAAGATGCAAGATGTACGGCACGTGCAAACCAGGTGTGCTGTGCGCACCTTGAAACATGAGATGAGCACACCTTCAAGTTTCAACAGCGGAGCCACAGCATGAATAGTCGAGTTTTGAGTCGACTCAAAACTCGACTTCGAGTTTCAACAGCAGAGCCACAGCGTGCATAGCCACGCCCAGCACAGCACGGACGGACCCCACACCTGCCTCCATCACTGAGTCTGCTGCACGATGCAGGCTACAAGGCACAGCCATTTGTGTGTGCAGATGAGACATGGTGTAAGCCCACCTTGAAGAGCGGAGCCACAGCATGCATAGCCACGCCCAGCACAGCACGGACGGACCCCACACCCGCCTCCATCACGCAGTCTGATGGCCCATGGAAGATCATGTGCTGTGCTGTGTATGAAGCATCATTTGGACCCACCCACACACCTTGAAAAGTTTACTTTTGAGTCGACTCAAAAGTCGAACGAGTCTGATGGCCCATGGAAGTTGATGTGCTGTGTATGAAGCATCGTATGGACCCACGCACCTTGAAGAGCGGAGCAACAGCATCCATGGCCACCCCGTGCACAGACTCCACACCCGCCTCCATCACGCAGTCTGCCTCCTCTGGAAGGCGGGCGAGTAGTTTTGAGACGTCTCAAAACGAGTAGGTGCACGCAGTGTGCGTGCACCGTCCCCAGCCAGCAGAACACACAGCAGAAGTACCCCAGCAGGAGCACCCCAGCAGGAGCACCCAAGCAGGAGATGAACCCACACACCTTGAAGAGGGGAGCGACAGCATCCATAGCCACGCCATGCACGGACCCCACACCCGCCTCCATCACGGAGTCTGCCTCCTCTGGCAGGCGGGCCAGCAGCTGCATGCAGCGTGTGTGCACTGCTCCCAGCAGCACGCACAGGGAGATGTTGCGCTGCTGCGCTGGCGAGCAGGGGGCGAGCACTTGGCGGGACTCTGGGCCTGTAGCGACCTGGAGAGGATGGGGGGAAAGGAAGGGGGTGGGACAGGGGTGAAGGATGTAGTGAGGAGGTGTATGCAGCGCGCGTGCACTGCCCCCAGCAGCACGCACAGGGCGATGTTGCGCTGCTGCGCTGGCGAGCAGGGGGCCAGGACCTGGCGTGACTCTGGGCCTGTAGCCACCTGGAGGGTGTAGGGGAGGGGAAAAGGGGAGAATAGTGAGCAGGTGCATGCAGCGTGTGTGCACCGCTCCCAGCAGCACGCACAGGGAGATGTTGCGCTGCTGCGCTGGCGAGCAGGGGGCGAGCACTTGGCGGGATCCAGGGCCTGTTGCAACCTGCAGAGGACAGGGGGAGACGAGGAGAGGGAGCGAGAAGTGAGGAGGTGCATGCAGCGCACTGCCAGCAGCTGCAGCGCCTTGCCTGCATTCGCCAGCTCAAGCCTCAAAACCTAGCATAGGCGCAAGAAACGTACCTAGTATCTCCCACACAAGCACCCACCCACACACCCATGCGGCGGCGCACGCCTGGTACCAGGTACACCAGGTACCACCCGCATGCACCCAGTGCGCCTCAAAACCTAGCATAGGCGCAAGAATCGTACCTAGTATCTCCCACACAAGCACCCACCCACCCACACACCCATGCGGCGGCGCACGCCTGGTACCAGGTACACCAGGTACCACCCGCATGCACCCAGTGCGCCTCAAAACCTAGCATAGGCGCAAGAATCGTACCTAGTATCTCCCACACAAGCACCCACCCGCACACCCACCCATCCCACTCACCTGGTATTCACAGCGTTCCGCCAGCAGTTGAAGCGCCTTGCCCGCATTCGCCAGCACGAGCCTCAGCAGCCCCTGGAATGGTTATGCCTCACACATCATGACACACCACCACACATCCCACCTGGTATTCACATCGCTCGGCCAGCAGTTGAAGCGCCTTGCCCGCATTCGCCAGCACGAGCCTCAGCAGCCGGCCATTCCCCTTCACCGCCTCTACCTCCTCCTCCATCCTCGTTATAAGCCTCACCCCCGCCTCCGGCCCCGGCACACCTCCCCTCCCGCCCCCTGCGGCTGGCATCATGGTGTTGATCGGGTCGGTCATTCTAGAGAGCGAGAGGGCCAGATAGGCTGCCTGAAACGGCTCCAAAGCAGCCATCATCTGCGCGCGATGCTCCACAGAAATAACCGCCGGAGTGCCGCCATTGGCCCACGAACCTGCCACAGCACCGCCTCCAACCGCTCCCAACCCAAACCCTCCTCCTCCCGCTCCTCCCGCTCCTCCTCCACCAGCTCCGCCTCCCCCTCCCCCCAGCACACGCACGTCTGTATCGGCATGCAGGCGGTCCAGGAAGGATTCTAGGGAGGCGAGGAGGCGGGGGTAGGCAGAGACGAAGGTCTCCTTGACAAAGGAGGAGGCGGTGAACGTGGCTCGTAGCTGCGAGGAGAAGGCTCGGAGTAAGGCTTCCCACACTCGCTCTGTTGGTAGTGCGTCTCCTGACTGGAGGCACATGGGGGTGGGCGGTGGGGAAGAGGGTGAGCATGCGGAGCTTCCGCCTGCGGGCGGTCCAGGAAGGATTCTAGGGAGGCGAGGAGGCGGGGGTAGGCGGAGACGAAGGTCTCTTTGACGAAGGAGGAGGCGGTGAACGTGGCTCGTAGCTGCGAGGAGAAGGCCCGGAGTAAGGCCTCCCACACCCGCTCTGTCGGCAGGGCGTCCCCTGCCTGGCAAGGAGAGGGTGCGGAAGGGGGATATAGAGAAAACCAGGAGGGTCAAACAAGGCTTGACGGGTGGCAAAACGAGTGGCTCGCAGCTGCGAGAGCAAGCCTATCAAGCCCCTGTCTGTCGCTATCCATTCCATTCTGCACACAAGCCCCATGCCTCCTCCCCCACCTGCAGCATGTGATCCAGGAACACCATATGTGAGATGAAGTCTCGCTTCTTTTGATAGCCCCTACCAATTCAGTACCCACTTCCACTAGCCAAGCCAACCCCCTCCCACACCCCCTCCACTCCCTCCCTCCCCCCCTCCCCCACCCCCCACCTGCAACACGTGGTCCAGGAACACCACATGTGAAATCGGATCTCTTTTGAGGCGCCTCAAAAGTCATGTGAAATCGGATCTCTTTTGAGGCGCCTCAAAAGTCATGTGAAATCGGATCTCTTTTGAGGCGCCTCAAAAGTCATGTGAAATCGGATCTCTTTTGAGGCGCCTCAAAAGTCATGTGAAATCGGATCTCTTTTGAGGCGCCTCAAAAGTCATGTGAAATCGGATCTCTTTTGAGGCGCCTCAAAAGTCATGTGAAATCGGATCTCTTTTGAGGCGCCTCAAAAGTCATGTGAAATCGGATCTCTTTTGAGGCGCCTCAAAAGTCATGTGAAATCGGTTCTCACATCTTGTAGCCCGTGCCTGCCAATTTTTCATACAAGCCCACCCCTCCCCCTTTCCTCTAACCACCAACACCCCACCCCCCATCTGCAACACGTGGTCCAGGAACACCACATGTGAATCAGATCACCCTCCCTCCCCCCTCCACTCACTTCTTTTAGCCCAGGCCTGCAACTTTTTCATACAAGCCCACCCCTCCCCCTTTCCTCTAACCACCACCCCCCCTCCCCCGACCTGCAACACGTGGTCCAGGAACACGACGTGGGAGATCGGATCTCGCTTCTTCGCCATCACTCGCTGCAGGTGCCACGTCAGCACCATAACACGCGCCAGCTCATCCAGGCATCCAGTCAGCCGCTGCCACAGCGCCTCCCGGGCTCTGGGGGCGCCACCCATTGGAGGAGTGCCGCTGCGCATGGCCCCCCCTGGGAGAGCAAGGGGGACAGGCAGGGGGGACAGGCAGGGGAGAACGGGAAAGGGTGAACTCAGGAACGGGAGCAGATGAGCTTCGAACCAGCTCAGTTACTCAGCCGCCGCTGCCACAGGGCCTCCCAGGCTCTAGGTACGCCGCGCCGCCCATTGGAGGTGTACTGCTGCACATGGCTCCTCCTGGGAATGGGAGGAAGAGAGAGACCCAATGGGGAAAGGCGGGGTAGTGAGAGAGGTGCAGATGGCAGCGGGGGACCATTGTGGGCGAGGCGATGAACGAACTATAACGTCAAATCAAGTTCCAATGCGCACCAGGTTAGCACTGCAAGCTTGTCTCGAGTTCAAGAAACGAATTCAGATAGCAAGGAGGGCGTACGGACGGACTATACGCATACCTGGTCCGCCCACGGAGCCACCCAAGCCTCCTCCACCTCCTGATGCTCCCATGCTCGCACTGATAGCCTGCTTGCCGGGAGAACAACAGTGAGGGGTAGTGAGGGGTGAGTGAGGCAACAACGAGTGCAGAGACATGAGAGGGAGACAGGCATGTACGTGCGAGAAGGGTGCAGAAACGATAACTTGCGACTTCTATGAAGGGAAGCCACAACTGGCAGGGCACACAAAAAAGAGTCCATGGCCGCTGCTTGCATAGCCTGCCCCTTGTGCTTCGAGGGCGGCTGAAGCCCCTTGTGCTTCGAGGGCGTCAGGAACGTCCCATACACCTTCCACGCCCAAGAATAGCCAAGCAAAGCACCTTCGATGTGAAATCAATAAGGAAAGCCCATACCTTCATGTCGAGCCCTGTGGCGACGGCTCGCATGGCCTGCCCCTTGTGCTTCGCTACCAGCTGATCCACCGTCTGCCTCAGCTCCCCCATGTTGAAAAACACCTGAGATAATGCGACAACACACACACACACACACACACACACACACACACACACACACACACACACACACACACACATACGCAAAAAAAAAGGGAGGGGAGGGAGGAGAGGAAGGAGAGATGAAAAAGGAGGAGAGAGTTGTTTTGAGCTTACATCACTTTCAAGGTTTCAAATCATGAAAAACTAATTAAGAGAAGTGGACGAACGGGCGGGTTCCTTTAATCCCCTTCGACAACAAACCCCCTCTCCCCTTTCGTCGCCCTTCATTTCCGTTTCAACCCCCTTTCTGAAACTCTCTCCTCTCACCTGCAGCATAGAGGTGATGGGCCCATCACCTCTCATCGCCTCTATGCTGGGTGATGGGTGAGAGGCGATGGGCCCATCACCTCTCATTGCCTCTAAGCCCATCATGCTCCTGACTTCAACCTAACCCATCGCCTCTATGCTCCCAATCCCTATTCCTCTCCTCTCCACTCCCCCCATTTCTGTCCAGCTCCCCTGTCCTTTCTCCTTCACCGAAAGCCCTAACTCTCTCCCCTCACCTGCAGCAAGCTCTCCCACTTCAGCCTGGTTCATCGCCTCCATGCCTCCTTCCTGCGCCTTCATAGCCTCTCTCCGTATAGCCTGTCCCGCCTCCACCACCCACTCCTGTTGTGCCTCCACCACCCACTTTTTTTAGTCGACTCTTGAGTTGATTTTTGTAGTCGACTCAAAACCCCCCTCAGCTGCGTCTCCAACACCCACTCACATGTGCAACCCTCTCACCGGCAGCACCCCTCACCTGCAGCACGCTCCCCACTTCAGCTTGGTTCATCGCCTCCATGCCTCCCTCCAGCGCCCTCATCGCCTCTCTCCTGAAAGTCTGCCCCTTATTGACCCCTACTGGCCCTCACTGCCCCTCACTGCCCCACCGTTCCCCACCCATCCCAACCAAATTCTTACCTGCAGCACCCCTCACCTGCAGCACGCTGCCCACTTCAGCCTGGTTCATCGCCTCCATGGCCCCCTCCAGCGCCCGCATCGCCTCTCTCCTGATAGCCTACCCCTTGTTGCCCCGCATTGCCCCTCATTGCCCCAAGAACCCCCCAACTCAAACACTCATTCCCGCAGCACCTCTCACCTGCAGCACGCTCCCCACTTCAGCCTGGTTCATCGCCTCCATGCCTCCTTCCAACGCCTTCATCGCCTCTCTCCGTATAGCCTGCCCTGCCTCCGCCACCCACTCGTGCTGTGCCTCCACCACATGCACCCCCCCCAGCTGCGCCTCCCTGTGCACCGCCCCCACCTCCTGCCACACCTGCCCCGCCTTGCTCAGCTCCGCCTTCTCAACGCCTGCAGCTAAATGCTCCCGCAGCTTGCGCACCTGAGGTGGGGAGAGGAGAGGATTGAGGGGGAATGGGGACATCTGAGTCCCCACGTCCTGCCACACCTGCCCCGCCTTCCCCAGCTCCGCCTTCTCTACCCCCCCATTCAGGTGCTCCTGCAGCTTGCGCACCTGAGGAGGGAGATACATGGGGCCGGGGGAGATTAAAGAAGAGGGTGGGGGGGGTGGTTAGGGGGTTTTGAGACATCTCCGCCCCACCTCCCGCCACACCTGCCCTGCCTTCCCCAGCTCCGCCTTCTCTACCCCCGCACCCAGGTGCTCCCTCAGCTTGTGCACCTGGGGGGGAAAGGAGAGGGTGGGGGAGGGATGGGGGGATTTGAGACGTCTCCTGCCACACCTGCCCCGCCTTCCCCAGCTCCGCCTTCTCCACCCCAACATTCAGGTGCTCCCACAGCTTGCGCACCTGGGGAAAAGGTGGAGGGGGAGGGGGATTTGCGGAGAATCAGGTGAAGGGGCAAACAAGGAGGGATGGTGGTGTAAGGATTGGGGGAGTTTTGAGGCGCCTCAGAACACACCTACACCGCCCCCCCCCTCAAAACACACCTCAGAGGCGCCTCAGAACACACCTACACCGCCTGCCCCTGCCTCTGCCACCCACTCGTGCTGTGCCTCTACACATGCATGCACCCCCCCCCCAGTTGCGCCTCCCTATGCACCTACCTACCTGCCAAGAAGTTCCATCTGCTTCGCAGCAGAAGATTTGCACCAACTGGAGCATTTCCGCCCAGCTCTCCTTGAATCTCCTTCATTCCCCTTGAATTTCATCAACCGAAATTGACTACCCTTGACTCCCCTTGTGATAGCCTCGATCCAACAGCTTGCACTTTTCGTGGTCTCCACTCACAACAACCAGGCAGTTAATATCCACAACCCCCTTGTAATGTAATTTATCTCCACTCATCAGTTTGAGGTATTGAATGGCGGATCTCAGCAGCTCCATGGTGACGAAAAGGGCGGCCAGCTGACTTGTCGAGGTGACATTTGAGTCAACTATTGACTCTATTGTACTCGATTGTGGGACTTCTATATCGACTCAAAGCTCACCAGCTTGACTTGAGGTACAAAGTGACGGCTCTCAGCAGCTTGACTTGAGGTACAAAGTGACGGCTCTCAGCAGCTCCATGGTGTCGTAGAGCGCTCTGAGGCGCCTCAAATCAAAGTCTTCTCCGCTCACCTTGAAGTAGTTAAATTCCTACTCACCAGTTTGAGGTACTTGATCACAGCTCGCAGCAGTTCCATGGTGTCGTACAGAGCTGCCAGCTGACGTGTCTTCACCTGAATGGCCCGATACGGGTCTGCTATCTCTGCCCGCACGCGCTGAGGGTGGGGAGACAAAGAGCCCAAGCGAATTGTTTAGCGATTCGGTTAATAAATTCTGTTAGAAATCATATACATATTCTCAAGGCACAAGAGTGAGTGATAACAGAATTCCCCCTCCCTCTCCTCTCAGGATTCCCCCTCCTCTCCTCTCAGAAATCCCCGTCCTCTCCCTTGCACGATCTTGCTCATGGTCCTCTTCCATCCTTCACTCACTCATGCATTCATACGTGTTTTGAGTCGACTCAAAACACGCCTCGATCTCGCTCATGGTCCTCTTCCATCCTTCACTCACTCATGCATTCATACGTGTTTTGAGTTGACTCAAAACACACCTCGATCTCGCTCATGGTCCTCTTCCTTCCTTCACTCACTCATGCATTCATACACAGAAACGCACCTGGACGGAGGCTAGTAACGAGTCGACTCCAGCGCGCACCACAGACAGCACGCCCTCTGTGTCTTTTAACGAGGATAGCTGCTGCAGCAGGTCGTCATGATGCGTTGCCACCTCAGCCTGCACCTGCGCCTGCAGCGCAGATATCACCTCCCCCAGTTGAGCCGTGGTCAGCACAGATGAGCCTTCCTTTCCTCCTGCTGCCATGCTGTGTGCTAGGGCCTATAAGTGGGAAAGGGTAACGGGAAACGTAAGTTGGAGGAAAGGGGGAAGGTAGAAGGAAGTTGGGAAACAGCAGCTTATATATCACCTCCCCCAGTTGTACTGCTGTGAGCAAAGAATGTCAGGGGAGAGAAGGCGGAAAAGGAGAGATCATGAAGAAGATATCGCCGGCCTGAGTTGATCTGAACACATAAGAGCCTTCATCGTCAGAGCACATAAGATATCCCCCTCCTTAGATATTGTGCATCGTAAAGGCCTGTGGTGGTGTGATGTGATGGAGATTTCATGACATGTGGAAAGAATCACAAGTTTGGCTCTCAACCAATCACAATGTGCAGCCAAACGATCGTCCGCTACTATGCTCTCTGGAGATGTTGCGCAATCAAGAGGCGACTTGCAGTGCGTACTATCAATAACGAATCCACCTGCAGTGTACGAATGATTAGGAAGCACCCACCCGTTGAGACAACCGTGGCGCATAGACGTCTTTAAAGCAGCTCTTCAAACGTCTACATGCCGAAGCTGACAAACATCTACCTCTAAACCGGTTCTTCGAACGTTTTCAAACCGTACTGATGCATCTGCCTTATTTTCATATCTTCATGCGTCTACAAACGGTAACTAACAAGCACCTGCGCTTTTCTACAGTTGGCCTGCACGATGTCCTGAAGTTGCTCCGACCGCGTTTTGAGTCGACTCAGAAACAGGCTCAACATCCATACTAATTCCTGCTGCTGTTGTCACACGAACCTGCAATGCGTCGATGTCTTTAAGTTGCTCCAGCTGACGTGCCAGCTCATCGTTGCGCAAGACCCCCCCTTCCCGCGGGGAATGCGGAGACGCTTCCTCCTGCGCCTGCACGTTCCGCAATACCCCCTTTGCGGAGGCCATTGCGGCCGAACTTGCCGTGAAATGCGGACAGGCTACAAGGAGGATGAACAGACAACTGATCTGGCGGTTTGCGCGAGTCAGCTGTCTACAACATCAAGGTATTTCCGCCGGTCCCACTCTTTGGATATGACGACGTTCCGCAGAATACGGAATCCAGAAAACCAGTACGTCAGTAGTTCCGCTCAGGAGAAGCGTAGAAATGTGTCGGTGCCAGATCAACTGCAAGAATTCCGGAAAAACACACTCACAGGTGCTTCAATACAGCACCATGTAATGTGCGTGCGCACTTCATTTCTACAGCCTTAGTTTTCACCAGTTTTCATAATTTATCGCTTAACAAGATCACAAATGTTCCAAGGCCCCTTCTCTGACTAAAATGCGTGTCATGCCCTACGCGGTATCATGAAAAATCAACTTCCCTACAAATCATAATATAAAATAAACACAATAATTTTGTTTACCATCCTTCAGGTTCCCGCATCTGCATACTATTAAGTCAACCTGTTTCTTTGTGCCCGCTTTTTAGCATTAGGTGAGAGACATTGTTTGCTTTCAGGCTTTCAAACATTTAATTGTAATGCCCTTTATTGATACGTGTCTTAGTTCTGCGCTATGTAAGGAAAATCCATTTTCCTTACTTCGCATCCCTGCTCAACGCGTACATCACTGTAGCACCTCAGTCAGCACCGTTACCACTCGCGATCCTCGCATCTACAATCATCCCGCCATCTTCGCACATTGCACCCCGACCTCACGGCTCGGCTGGTAACCCGCGCTCCGGGCCTCCGCTTCGACACTTTCCCAACCTCAGTCCCAGGCTCGTCGCACGACAACCACAGTCCATTACCGTTACCACTGTAGTTTCGCTATATATTCTTCGCTCATGCCTTTGCTCATTGGATTCTTGCTTCGATAGTGCAATTCTCGTTCGTTCACTCAATTGCACTCGTAACACGCTACAAGATCCTACGTCTTTTGCGGGTTGGTACTAGCATCGTGAAAGCCTCGGGTTTGCACATTGAATTTGTTACGAGTGCAATTGAGTGAACGAACGAGAATTGCACTATCGAAGCAAAGAGTACAATGAGCGAAGGCATGAGCGAAGGATTATATAGCGAAACAATAGTGGTAACGGTAATGGACTGTGGTTGTCGCGCGACGAGCCTGGGGCTGAGGTTGGGAAAGTGTCGAAGCGTAGGCCCGGAGCGCGGGTTACCAGCCGAGCCGTGAGGTCGGGATGCGATGTGCGAAGAGGGCGGGATAATGAATGATGCGATGGTCGTGAGTGGTAACGGTGCTGACTGAGGTGCTACAGTGGCGTACGCGTTGAGCAGGGACGCGAAGTAAGGAAAAGGGAATTTCCTTACACTACCCCCCTCCCCAAGGAGGCCCCTCTTACGAGAGCGCATGGATGTCGCGGAAATTTCGGCTTCGCAGATACTCGGGGAAGACAGGGTGGTTCTCAATTTTATCCAGGGGGACCCAGTTGTCTTCTGTGGGCGTTCGGTCCTTCCAGCGAATTAGGAACTCTATCCTTCGGGCTCCCCGAGGGTCGCGGACTCGGTGGCTGAGGATTTTCTCAGGGGTGATGAGTGGTTCGGTTGGGGGACGTGTCATGCTAGCTGGGCGATTTCGTGGCAGTTGGCTCGTGGATGGGATGTAAGGGCGAAGTAGGCTGACGTGGAATGACGGGCTGACGTACCAGTCAGCAGGGAGGAGGAGGTGGGCGGTGACGGGTGTGATCATGTGGCTGATGCGGAATGGCCCACAATACCGGGGGCGAAGTTTTGGAGTGATGGGCAGGCGAAGATTCTGAGTGTCGAGTAATACGAGGTCGTCGGGCTGATAAGTAACGGGTCTGCGATGTCGATCGGCGTTACGTTTAGCGATGATGTTTGATTTTTTGATTGCTTCTGCTGCCCTGGTCCGTGCTGCTTGCAGAATCTCGGCGAACTGTTGTGCTCGTGGGACTGGGTTGTCGGGATTCGGTGTCATGGGTACTGTTGGGTCCTGTCCGTAATTCAAATAAAACGGCGACTGTTGCGTCGTGGCTGATGGTGCGTTATTGTATGCGAACTCGATGAGTGGCAGCTGCTGTTCCCACGTATTCGGGTCGTCGCACGTGGCTCGAATCAGCTGCTCCATGGTCTGATTTGTCCGTTCCGTCTGTCCGTCGGTTTCGGGGTGATAGGATGAACTGAACTGTAAGCGCGTGCCGAACTGCTGCCACAGGTTCCGCCAGAAGTTGCTGGTAAATTTCGTGTCCCTGTCGCTGATGATCGACGCGGGTATCCCGTGCAGTCGTACGACGGTGGCGATGAATAGTCGGGCGGTTTCTTCGGCTCTGATGGATTTCCTGCATGCTGCGAAATGAGCCATTTTCGTTAGTCGATCGACGACGACCAGGATCGCGTCATTCCCACTCGCCCCAGCTGGTAACCCCGTGACGAAGTCCATCGTCACCTGCTGCCAAGCACGCTCTGGAGGCGGGATGGGTTGTAATTGCCCCGCTGGTCGCTTCCTGCTTGACTTCATGAGCTGGCAAGTGGGACACGATGCCACGTGTCGTTGCACATCGGTCAACATTTCTGGCCAGTAGTAGTACCGCTGCAGCTGCTGCCGTGTTTTTTCTACCCCGAAATGTCCCGAGGTAACTCCGTTGTGTGCTTCCTGTAACAGTAGTTCCCACAGTAGCGTGTATCCCGGTACCCAGATGCGGTCGGTTCCAGTTTTTACGTAATAGACTCCTTTTGCCGCTGCGAATTGCTGTGAGTTGCCTCCTGTAAAGAACGGGTCTGTTTGATATCCGTGGGTAAATAGGCCGGTAAGCAGTGGGCTGGTCTGGGCGAGTAGTATCGCGTGGATCTGGGCAGTGGGGCGGGTCAGTGCGTCGGCGATATTCGATGCTCCTTTTTTGTATGTGACCGTATAGTGAAAATTCGACTCGAGGAAATCGAGCCATCGAATCTGTCGTGGGTTGAGGTGGGGCTGTGCGCGGAGGTACTGTAGAGATCGGTGGTCTGTCCGTACTGTCACGTCTGCGCCAGTCAAGTAGCAGCGCCAAACTTTGAATGCATGCACGATCGCGAGCATTTCGCGGTCGTGTATCGGGTAATTTCGCTCAGGCGGATGTAGTTTGCGTGATTCGTAGGCGATGGGTTGGAGGCCGTTGCCGAAGTCCTGTAACAGTACAGCTCCGATGGCGATGTCACTTGCGTCGGTAACCACTTCGAAAGGGCGGTGGGGATCAGCGATACGTAGAACGGGTGGTGAACAGAGGACGTTTTTTAGGGCAGAGAAGGCAGCATGCTCTTTCTCCCCCCACGTAAAAGCGACCCCCTTACGCAGTAAATCAGTTAGTGGGGCTGTTAAACGTGCCATGTCGGGCACGAACCGTCGAACGTAATTAACAAACCCTAAAAAACTCTGCAGTTCCGTGATGTTTGTCGGGGGGCGCCACGCTTTTACCGTATCCAGCTTCTTTGGGTCGATCTCAACCCCAGCCTCGGAAATGACGTGACCTAAAAACTCTAGCCTATCCCTAAAAAACTCGCACTTGGAGCCCTTGGTGAGCAGCCGATGTTCCTCTAAAACCTTAAAAACTGCTTCAAGATCTGCTAAGTGTTGCTGCTTATCCCGACTGTAAACGAGGATATCGTCGAGGTAAACGATCACGCATTTATCTAAAAGTGGTCTAAACGCCTCGTTCATGGTCATCTGAAAAGTCGCAGGCGCGTTCGTCAACCCGAAAGGCATTACTGTATACTCGAATGACCCGTACCTAGTCCTAAATGCTGTTTTTGCGCAGTCCGATGGTTCGACCCGAATCTGATGGTAACCTCCCCGTAAATCTATTTTCGAAAAGACACGTGCTGTTCGCAGTTGGTCAATCAGTTCGTCGGCGCGGGGGATGGGGTATCGCGATTTGACTGTTACTCGGTTAAGCGCTCGGTAGTCGATGCACATGCGAAAACCTCCGTCTTTTTTCGGTGTGAACAGTATGGGTGCGGCGAACGGTGACGAGCTTGGTCGAATAAACTGCTTCTCTAACAGGTAATCTAACTGCTTCCTTAACTCGTCGAGCTCGGGCTGTGTCAGTCGAAATTGCCGTTGTACTGTTGGCTGTGCCCCCGGTTCTAGCTCGATCCTATGGTCGTGCGCTCGCTGAGGTGGCAGTCCCTGTGGTAAATCATCCGGAAATATCCCCGGGAACCGTTTCAGTAGTGCCTGTAATTCGGTCGGTACGGCTGCTAGCAGTTTCTTTAAATCATTCTGCTGCTCGTCTTTTTCTACCACTGCGATATCCACTGCGTACACGTCAGCTCCAGCGGCGACAGCCCGTTTCATCGTGATGGCGTTGACCTGGACTGTCGAAGATTCGGGTGGCCGCCAGCGAGGTAGGACGACCCAGTTACCGCTACTTCGCACTGTGCAGCTCCCCGTCGTCCAGTCGATCCGTGGGTTGTACCGTCGCAGCCAATCACGTCCCAGTAAAATGTCGTGCCCATCCAGCGTCGTTGCGAGCATTTCCTGTGTAAACCCGAAGTTTCCCCCGCAGCGGACTTTTACTCGCTTTTCTCGTATGGCCAATGGCGTGCCGTCGACTAAGCGTGCATCTATCTCAGGTAAACATCGGTTAAGTATTAACTGTAATCTCCGTGCGGTTGCAGTATTAACTAAGCTGTGACTTGCCCCTCCGTCAATGAAGATTTTCACTGCTGCTCCCTGTATTTTCCCGTAGATCAGTACCGGGCAATCCGTCGCTGTACCCTCCTTATTCATCCGAGCCCGATCGATGGCGTGAATCGGTACTGTGACTCGGTGAGGGTCGGTGTGGTTGGGCGAGCAAGCAGTCTCGTCAGTAGTTGGCCCAACTTCTACTGACTGCTGGCGTTTCCCTGCCTCCGAGACTCCTTCCCTTGCTCTGCTCCTCGACGCCTCAGCTCCTCTGGACATTCGCTTTTGCGATGGCCCGGCCGGTTGCAAGCAAAGCAGCGCCC